ACCCCCCCCCCCCCGGGCTCCAATGACCCGCAGCCCCGCGCTTTTCGAAAGGCTTCCCGGCTCGCCGGCAGCCAGGAGGGCCGTAGGGGCGCACCCGAGGGCCGAGCGCCACCGCCGCTCGCCGGGGTCGCTGCCTCCCTTCCATCCGCTTGGCGAAAGTCCTCTGTCGCATCCCCAGCTTCATAGCAAGAGAGCTGGGACAGGGAAGCACTAGCAGAGGTTACGATTGGGGGACGGAAGGGACCGAGGAAATAAAACAGGGAGCGGGGCCGATGGCCTTTCTGGCCGCGGTGCGCCCCCCCGCCCTGGCCGCGCGCAGCGACCTTTCCTGGCAGTCTTGGAACGCTGCCTTCGCCATTTCATCTGCATCATCACTAGCGTCGATACTTGCTCTTCAGAAGCTTTTTTAGGTGGAAAAGGATGTTTTAAAAGCTCGTCTAGGCTCTCCGATCTGTTTCTCAGAGTACTAACTTTTTAAAATCTGCCATCTCTTTCACCTGAGCCACACCCTACGCTCAGTCCCCCTTCCCTCCCGGGCAAATTGAAGGTAAAAATACTGCCAGCGAGGCGGGGGTGGGGGAGAAGAGGGCCCACGATCATTATAGAACCACCACCCGGGGCGGGGACAGAACTCGGGGACCTGGTCAACAACCGGGGCTCTCGTGGGGGTGGGGTGGGGTGGGTGGGGTCAGCCTCGGAGCCCGCAGAACCGAAAGTGTAATGTTTACACGTAAACTCGTCTGTGTGTGTCCCCCACCCGCGTACCAACTCCATCTCGCGTGGGGGCACAGAGTAGGGAGGAATCGGAAAGTAAAAGATACAAAAAGAACTCTGCGTGTTGGGCGCGAAACGTCGAGGCGCCTCGAAAGGAACGCGAAGGAAAAGCAGGGAGAAGGCGCGCAGCCGAGTCCGGTCCGGGGGATTGCATCACTGCAGCTCCCCCGCAAGAAAAAGGGCTCCAACCCGCGGCCACCATCATGGCGCTCGGGCCGGGCCGCGCTTCCCGCGCGCATTCCCCGAGCGCTCGCGCCACGGGCACCGAGCCTCCAGCGAGCATTTTGCAAACATTTCCTCTCCCTCGCGCGCGCGCGCGCCTGTACTCCCACCCCCTCCTTCCTTTTGTGTGCTTGTGTGTGTGCGTGCGTCGGTGTGACTGTGTGTGGACTGGAGAACTTGAAGATTGTTTTTTTCCTCTCCTTTTTTTTTTTTCCCCTCCGGTGCTGGTGGTTGTAAACTTGATTGGCATTGGCTGCGCCCACTGACCCCTGCGCCGAGTCCGCTGAAGATTTAAGGTGGATCCGAGAGGCTGCAGCTACAGGCGGAGTCTCGCGCTCGAGCTGGTTTTGGAGGAAAAAAAACAACCACCCCAAACCGGGCGCCCGCCGTGTTTTTACGCATCCCCTGCGGTACCAGCCCCCGCGCGCCCCGCCCGCCGCGCGCTTCCTCCGCCCCCGCCCGCTTCTTCCCCATTGGCCGCTGAGTGCAGTTTGAATTTTTTTTTTCTGGGATGCTTGTTTTCTTGTGAAAAATACAGTTCTCCAGATCGTGTGCCAAAACCGCTGCAGCGGCCCCAGGTGAGGTGTTTAGCTGGTTTTGTGGAAGCGGGAAGGAAGAGGATAGGTGGAGCTTCTGTTCCAAAAATTTCCCCCAAAGTGCGGTTGACAGCGTACAGACGGGTGGGGTGCGTGGGGCCGCCGTCACCAACCGGGAGACGCTTCGGCGGGGCCAGGGATGTAGTATAAACGTTAATGGATGTCCAGGGTGCGCATTTCGCCGGCCGCGGGGCCGGAGATACTGGGGAGGCGCCGGCAGGAGCTCCAGGCGAGGATGCACCTTCCCCTGCGTGGAAAGGTAGAAGAATTAGGGAAGGCGGGAGGGTGAAGGCGGCCCGGAAAAGATCACCTCACTACCAAGGGGGAAAAGAAAGAAGAAAAAAAAAAATAGAAGAAATGCAAATACAGGGGGGAAAGTGTTATTTCAGGAGCCACCAAGTCAGGGATCACATAAGTCTGGAAGTCGGTGTCATTTTTACTGAATTTTTTAAAAAAAGTTGTCTGTCTCTCATTTCCAGAGTATTTTTATGGAAGGAGAAGGCTGAAACAAAACCCAAAGAAGGAATGATTTTGAAAGTGCCTTTGACTAGTGGATCTGAAAGTTAATTCTTTTGATGAAGTACGTTAAGATTTCGGATAATGTTATTTGTAAAACAGGTCTACTACATATATCCTTCGTTAATTATAAACCAACTATGTTTTACTTTATGGTGAAAAATTTTTAAGTTTATCACAATTTAAATTATTCTCCAAATCAGTTTATCTCCAGATTAGTGAAGTTGGCATATAAGCATATGAGTGTTTTGTTTTGTTTTGTTTTGTTTTGTTTTTTTTTGGGGGGGGGGAGGAGGAGGGAGTTTTATCTGTTACTCTTGTTACAATGTAGTTGACAATTTGAACCAGAATTTCAGCCCAGCCTTTAGTCTAACAGTTCCTATTCAAACCACCCCATCTATTTTGTAGTTCTTAATTCCCCCTATACTTCCTAGCCCAATTAACCAACCCCTTAAGGTAAGCCCAACCCAACGAAGCTGCTCAGACCACCATATGCCAACCTGCTTGTGCCCTTGGCAAGGAATTTTTGAGCTAAAATTGCCCCCAAATAGACTGGCTAGCCTCAGTGAATTCATCATCCCTGGAAGTGTGAGTCAAGCACTAGTCTAAGTGACCCTGGATTAGGGACATTGTAGAAAAGATTTGACTATCAAATGAATGTTTAGATTTGTGATTTTTTAAAAAAATATATTTTATTGATTTTTTACAGAGAGGAAGGGAGAGGGATAGAGAGTTAGAAACATCGATGAGAGAGAAACATCGATCAGCTGCCTCTTGCATACCCCCAACTGGGGATGTGCCCGCAACCAAGGTACATGCCCTTGGCCGGAATCGAACCCAGGACCCTTCAGTCCGCAGGCCGACGCTCTATCCACTGAGCCAAACCGGTCAGGGCTAGATTTGTGATTTTTAAAGTCTATTCCAGACCCTTGAGATACTATATTTCCAACATTGGAATTTCTGGATTTCTATTAAATTAAGCAATTTTCCTTGCTCATGACCATTTTCTAGAGTCGAATTGTCCAATATGGTAGCCAGAAACCATATGTGGCTATTGAGCACTTGAATGTAGTTAGTCCAAACTGAGAATTGCTGAAAGTGTGAAATATACACCAGGTTTCCAGAATTAGTATGAAAAATATGTTAAATATCTCAATAATTTTTAAAAAAATATTGATTTCAGAGAGGAAGGGAGAGGGAGAGAGAGATAGAAACATCAATAATGAGAAGGAATCATTAATCACCTGCCGCCTACACGTCCCCACCCTGAGGATCAAGCCCGAAACCCAGGTATGTGCCCAGACTGGGAACTGAACCTTGACCTCCTAGTTCATAGGTGGACACTCAACCATTGAGCCACACCAGCCGGGCAATAATTTCTATATCGATTACACGTTAAAATGGTCAAACTTTTGAATTATTAGGTTAAATAAAAATATTAAATTTAATTTCATCTTCATTTTTACTATTTTTTAGGGTGGTTACTAGACAATTTTAATTTACAGATGTGACTAGCATTATATTGTTGGACATTGCTGTTCTAGAACAACACCCATGGTAACATGAAGCCCCCATCTTTGAGTTTGGTGGCTGGTAATACTGAGTAGGTGGTAACTTCCAGCTGCCATCCTAACTTCTGAAGTTAAATCAAGGCCCAAACTCAGCCATTGGAACCTTTAAAAAGAAATGTTACCAACATCTAACACCTACCATTTAATCTTTAACACAGCATTGGCTTTGAGCCCAGACCATGGAAATATGGTACAGATATGTCTAATTAAATCAGATTTGATCACAGCTTTCCACATTTTTTAAAGAGAGAGATTGGGAAGTCCAATATGTTAGGAATGACTCTGGAAAAAATGTAGACCCCAAACAAAACTTCCACAAGTAACTTTTCACTACCACTGTTCAACAGACAGGACGGCGGTAAGAGAAGACACGAACAAATGAAAAGGTGAGTCATATTTTTGGATAGGAATACTCAACATCATAAAGATGGGAGTAAATTAATACCTTTTCAATTAAATTTATACCTTTACACTAAATTCTGATAAGATCTAGTCATCCAATTTTGTTCCATTGTTCTATCAGTTTCAGCACTCAGAGCCAAATTATTTTAATTACTATAAATTTAGAATATGTTTTAATTTCTGGTAGCACTAATCCTCCACACCCCAACTAGACCCTTTTCAGAAATTTCCTGGCTTCTTTTGCTGGCCTTGCTTCCACATATGAATTTAAAATGAATTTAGCCACAAATATACCGTAATCCCTATTGGCATCTACACTAATAGAAGAGAAAGATACAAATTGACTGTACCTTTGCGACACCCACCAGCCAATCAGGAGTGAGTATGCAAATTAACCCAACAAAGATGGTGGGTTAATTTGCATAAGTAGGCTACGAGTGGCCCGGGCGGGTGACAACAGGGGCATTCCACACAGCCCCAGCTGCTCTGGGCCTCTGGGCAGTGTGGGAAGGCGGAAGGGCGGCTCCTGGCTGGAGTGAAGGCAGTGCCGGCAGCCAGGGGAAGGAAGGCCCATTCTTGCACGAATCTTTGTGCATTGGGCCTCTAGTTAAAAAAATAAAGTGAAATTTTTATTTCACGCTTTATACCAGCATAAATTCCTGAAGAATTTAAGTGAAGTGTAAAAAAATTAAAATTAAGTGCTAGCCGGTTTTGCTCAGTGGATAGAGCATCAGCCTGTGGACTAAAGGTCACAGGTACGATTCTGGTCAAGGGCACGTACTTTGGTTGCAGCCTCCTCCCAGGCCGGGGCCCTGGTCAGGGCTTGTGCAGGAGGCAGCCAATTGATGTGTTTCTCTCACATCGATGTTTCTCTCTGTCTTTCCCTCTCACTTCCACTCTCCCTAAAAATCAATGGAAAAAATATCCTCGAGTGAGGATTAACAACAATAACAAACAAATTTAAAATTAAAAAAACGAAGCCATGGACATACCAGAAGAAACCTCAGAGGATTAAAAAATATATAATCTCAGAGTGGGGAAGGTTTAAGTATGACACAAAGCATAAAATTCATAAAATGTAATATTGATAATTTGATGACATAAAAATAAAAATGTTTTGCATGACAAAACCTGCCATAGTAGAGTGAAAAAAGTGAGATAGGGGTTGTGTGAGTATACTTAATGCCACTGAGCTGTATAGTTAAAAAATATTTAAAGTGGTAAATTTTATGTTGTTATGTGTAACTAACTACAATAGTAAGTAAGTAAATAAAACCGCTAAAATATTTTAAAGGTCACCCATGTTCTAGCTAAGTGAATTTTGCACAGCGTTCTGGTCCCATCCTCTGGGAGACAGACACTGGTGCAGTGTTTGACTTCAGGCTCTGGGAGAGTCTGCTTGGGTTTGAGTCCCAGTTACCTGACGCACCGCCTGTGAAACTTGTTGCCAGTTACTCCACCTTCTAAAGTTTCTGTTTCTGTGGCTATGTAATGAGCTGTTTACAGTTCTCCCATAGGGTTATTAAACTATTCAGTAAGATGATGTATGTGCAGTACTTAGCATAGTACCTGGTATACGTATACTACATAGCCATTATGTATTCATAAACAATATAATTAACAGATGTCCAGTTCTTATTTTGGATTCTCAAGTCACCACAACCAGCACTCTATTAACCTTGTAAATATGTTTTCTCATTTTTAAACATATATTTTATTGAATTTTTTTACAGAGAAGAAGGGAGAGGGATAGAGAGTTAGAAACATCGATGAGAGAGAAACATCGATCAGAATGGTACATTGTATGTCATATTTCACCACGATATTTTGAAAAGCTTAAAAAGAAAAAGGTTATTTGTTGAGTTTAGGGTCATCTCTAATTATCTTAGAGAGAAACTGGTATGGATTTGTTTGTGGTACTAATCAGTAACACACCCATACACAGACAATGGAAAATGTTTGCAATCCATACATCAAAAGGCTAATTTCCCTGATAGTGTCTATAAATACATGAGAAAAAGCAAACAAACCAATAGAAAAATAAGCAAAGGCTATGAACACGGTTTTCAGAAAAGGAAATACAAAAGGCTTCTAAAATGTGAAAACATTTATAGTTTGAGACTGTTGGGACATAAATTATATAGAGAATGCATAAATTTAAGTAAAGAGTTGCAGTTAGTGCCACTCAGCTGCAAAGGTGGCGTTTATCCTTCCTTGATAGTTTAACTTTTGCTTCCCTCCCTTCGACCCAAGGCTGAGTTTTCCCCAGCTTCGTTGACCAGAGAAGCAAGGAGTTTGCGTGTGTGGAAGCCAAGACTACCTTTCAAGTTCAGGGTAAAATCTCTCTCATTCAAACCGTGTAATCTTTGGCTTACCGGCATCACCTTACTTTGCCCTTAGAAATCCCCCGAATCAGCCTCTTAAAGCAAGTACAGTGACCTTTCTCGACACGTCTCGTCCATTCCTGTGTTTAATGCATGTATATTAGCCAATAATCGGAGTCTCTGAAATCATCGCTTGATTCTGGTTTTTCCTTCAAGTTCTTTATTCCCTTAAAGCTTCAAGCAGAATTTATTATATGATTAATATGAAACGTCAGCGTATATGATGGAGTAAATGGTGTTAGGTTAGAACCACACATACATAATGCCTTTTATGTACTGTGATTTTACACTTGGATTCAGTAGTTCCTTTCTACAAATTTACTTTTGGGAAATGGTCAGATATGTGACTAAAGATGTATTTACCAGCATGATCATTGTGAAGTTACATATTAGACTTTAAAAAGAAACAAAATAAATAACCGAACAACATCCCCTTAGATATAGGATTAAAGGATTGATTATGTGGTTGCAACCATTAAAACATCCAGGTAGCTTTATTTATATTAATATAAAAGTTGTCCATAATATTAAACCAGGTATAGAACAATATTTATGGTATGACCCCATTTTTTGTAAAAAAAATAAATAAAAAATGGTATGACCCCATTTTTTGTAATAAAAAAATTTAAAATTCACATGTGTATGCTTTCATTTTCTTTATTTAGGTATTGGTTGTATATTTTAATAATGGATTTTAACAGGGAAAAGCCATAAAGATATTTCAAATTTAAAAATAATTACCCTTAAAATTCTTGAATGGAGACCAAGTTTCTCCTTGTAGTCTCTCTTCTCAGATATTAGCACAGAACAAGGCATTTCCATAATTAATTTTCCTTCCTAAACTGAATTTTTCTGTCTATTTAGTTTCAGATATCATTAAATCCCTACATGAATTATGAGGAGTGTTGTGTGTTTTGGTATATGGTTTTGCTTCCAGGGCACATAAATTAAGGGCATAAATATCATCCCATTAACTCAGGGCTATCTTAACAAGCCATGGAAAATTGAGCCTATTCCATCTTTTTGCCACATGGGATCCTGATGGTAACATTATCCCAAACCTCACATTCCTTGATCTTTGGCATTTGGCACACCAGGATTCTGCCTGGAATTCAACGGCTCAACTCCCTGCCTGCAGTTTAGTTACTTAGGGCATAGTGCTGGGGAGATCGTTTTAAATTTCAAGTTAGCAGGCCGGTCTGGAGCTGTCACTCTCCGTGGGCCGGGCCTGGGCGAACTGTAGAATCTCAGAATACGGAGGATGGGAGATCACTGCATCCACTTTCATTTTGCAAATGAGAAAATTCTAATCCTTGATTTCCTGTAAAGTGAGGAAGTTAAGCAAGGTGATTTATAGGTTCCTTTTGGCTTCCAATCCTGTGATTTGTTTCCTAGTCAAGATCACGCAGTCCATCCCTATGGATCAGGTTTTTTTCCAGGGGAAGCTAGATTACTGATTTTTGGCCGCAAATTGTGTACTCACAGGAGTCAGGGGAAGATGACAGTACAATAGTGTAGGCTGAAGAGTGAACTTTTATGATCTCCCTAGAAAAAAAAAGCATGTGAAAGTATAACTTCATGGTTGCTTAGTGGGAATAAACACTGCTTCATTGTTGCATGAAGACTCATGGAGTCCCTGCTACGGGCCAGGCTCGCTGTCTTCAACATGACAGACGGGAGCCCTACCCCGTGGAGCTCCCGGGTGTTGGAAGAGATGGACAGGGAATCAGCCATTTAGTGGGATTTAGGTGAGTGTTCTGAAGGGTAAGTGCCATGAAGGGACCTCAGAGCCTCTGCTCTGTGCTCCTACAAAGGTGTCCAGCGGAGGGCGCCAGCACGGGCGGGAATCCAAGCTCTCCCCAGGCCAGCCATGTTTATCCAAAAGAAACAAGTCTTTAAAAATCCACCCCCCACGCAGTGCCTTCTGCGGCTTTCTGAAAGTCCCCTGTGTTGTAGCGGTTGCTCCGTAGTGGATGCTATAAGGGTTTGGAACAAGGGCCTCATCTAGTGATGGGGGCTCGCAAGTCCCTCCTAAGGCAATGACCTTTGAGCTGAGACATGGAGGCTGAGCAGGAGTTAACCAGTTGGAGGCAGGAGGGGAAGAAGAGTGATCCAAGCAGAGCACCGTCCAAGGCCCAAGTCAGGGAAGGACTTGGGGGAAGTGAAAGAAGGTGCTTATGGCTGGGATGCCATGAACCAAGGGCAGCAGGCACGGGCGATGTGAATGGAGTGCTGGGAAAGTCCGGATGGCGATGGGCTCTTTAAGCCATGTTAGGAATTTCGGACTTGACTTCAAGAGCAGTGGGAAGCCATCGGATGACTGAAGAGAGTGACTTGAGCAGCTTCCATTAAACTTGCTTATTTCCTCATTGCGTCTTATTCTAGTCAAAACCCTTAGTACCGCATTGGGATCGTTCCCATAGGATGCGGGAAAGAAAGTGCAGGCTGGCACCGTTATTCTTCACACACATACACAATATAAAAATGTTTTAAAGCTCTGGGCACATGGTTTTTCAGTAAGTGAGGGGGACGTGAAGTCCTGGGACCATCAGAACAGATACTGGTCACAAGTGATATATCTCAAGTTTTGAAGGAGGACCCATGCAAGCACCATGGCGGGTGTCGGTCTGCTGAACTGGAGGGCGGAACAAGCCCGTCTCACCCCTTCTGCTCCACCCTGCCCTTGTTTAGCTTGCAGTCTATTTTCATTGCCATAATGAGCCCATTGCTTGTCATTTAGAAGCTCGCCCATGTTTAGTCCTCTGCCAATACAATTGGTGTGCATTTTCTAAGCATGTGAACAGCTTAGGGGTGAATACGGCATCGTTTTCTTCAAAAATAGCTCAGCATTTTAATCTTCATTTTACTGAGCCTCTGGATTCAGTGTTTACTAATACTTTGGCCAAAGGATTAACTATTTACTTGGTTTTGGAAAGAGACGTCAGAAAGAGAGATAATAAAAATGAACCCACAGGGACTTTTTTAAAAAAAATTATTATTTAATTATTTTAAAATATATATCTTTATTGAGTTCAGAGAGGAAGGGCGAGGGAGAGAGAGATAGAAACACTGGGGATAGAGCCCACAACTCAGGCATGTGCCCTGACAGAATCAAACCATGACCTCCTGGTTCATAGGTCAACACTCAACCATTGAGCCAAGCTGGCTGGGCTTGTGTTGTTTTAATTGAAGATTAGTAAAAGAGAGACCTCTGCTGGCTACACTGGTATAATGCCCTAGAGTTGGTCTGTCACCACCAAGAAGCCCTCTTTGAAGTTTTTACAGGTAGGTGTTAGAACACCCATGGCTCGCTGTTTGTTCATTTCCTCAGCTATCAACTCAGGTTCTTTGAATCTAATCCAAGTGACCTGTGATTCCAAGCCCCAATCACAGTAGTTTCTGTCTTTAGGAAAAGTCTTAGTTTTTTATATTTCTAAAAAATTATAGCGTTATTTTTAAAAAATATTTTCGATTTCAGAGAGGAAGGAAGAGGGAGAGAGAGATAGAAACATCAATGAGGAGAGAGAATCATTGACAGGCTGCCTCCTGCACACCCCCTCACTGGGGATAGAGCCTGGAACCCCGGCCCTTACAGGGAATCGAACTGTGACCTCCTGGTTTATAAGTCGACACTCAAACCCTTGAGCCATGCCTGCTGGACTAAAAAATTATAGCTTTAAATATCAGCCCCAAGACAAATCCAGACCTGAAATAACTCCTGAATTTTATCTTCTCTGTTTCCTTTCTTCTGCCATTAATCTCCCTTCCTCCCCTCCACCATTAAAACAAATAAAATAAGTCTTCACTTAAAAGAGAGTACTGCTAAAACTGGTACATCTACACAATGGAATACTACGCTGCTGTAAAAAGGAAGGTACTCCTACCATTTGCAACAGCATGGATGGACCTGGAGTGCATTATGCTAAGCGAAATAAGCCAGTCAGACAAAGATAAATATCACATGATCTCACTCATTTGTGGAATATAATGAACAACATAAACGGATGAACAAAAACAGATCCAGAGACAGAGAAGCATTGATCAGTCTGTCAAACCTCAGAGGGAAGGCAGGGGCGGTGGGGGTAAGAGGGAGAGATCAACCAAAGGACTTGTATGCATGCATATAAGCCTAACCAATGGACACAGACACCAGGGGGATGAGGGCATGAGTGGAGGTGGGTGGGGGGGGCGATGGGGGGATAAGGACACATATGTAATACCTTAACCAATAAAAAAATAATTAAAAAAAAGAGAATACTGCTGATGGAAGGTGAGAAGGGGGGAACTTACCTGCTTATCTCTAACATACCCTCAGCTAAATACCCAGGCTTGGGGCCCAGGGTTGGGGTTAGATACCTGAGGAGAGCTGTGAATCCCATTAATGTCTTCTGATGGATGTGTTCAGCCATGGGGATGAGGAGGCACCACGTGAAGGAGAGTGGGTGAATGGGAGACACAACAAGTGAGAATGTGAAGGTGGCTATGTAGTGGGAGAAAGGGAAGGTCTCCCTGAGGCCTTTCATTTGTTAACAGTGATGGTTAACAAACCATCACTGGCCAGTTGCCTGCCACCTTCCACCCCAAACTATGGGCCAGGCTGCGGGCCAAGCACTTTACGTACCTTTATTCTGTTTCTTGCTTTTCCTCTCACTTCATAATCTTAAGAACATCTTTCTCTGGAAAGTATTTAATATGTGTAAAAATAATAGTTATGTGTATGCTCACTATTTTATTATGTTTTTACTCTGGAATATGCTGCAACTCCTTCTCGTGAGAAGAGGCCTTCCCCAGGCTCCCCAGAGTAAGTCCTAAATGTGCTTCTACAATAACACCTCCTGCGCTCTGTGGCGGAGCCGGCGAGAGGCCGCTTTGGCTTGGCAGGTTGTTTCCACACAGTGGCTCCCACGTCCTGTCTTCCCGTGTCTCACGCCTCTTACACCTTAAATATCCATTCTCCTCCACTCAGCAGCCTCTTCCGGACTGGCCAACGCATGAGGAATTAGTGTCCAGGGATGATCATTTTAATGCTGTTAAGGGACCACCAACCTCTCCTTTAAGGAAGAGGAGGCCCAGGGAGGTCAGGTGCCCAAGGTTATCCATCTAGTGGGCAGCTCCCCGATTCTTGATGTAACACTTCCTGTATGACACCCACGCTGTCCTTGGTCTGCATTGTGCAACAGATGGTTTTCCTTATACTTTCTGCTCCTCTTCTCCAGTTGCCTGCCACTCCTTTTCTAAGCCTTCCACCCCAAACTGCGGCACACAGGCAACCGGGGCCCATTAGGGCGCCCCCAGGAGCTTCTCTGACCAGTCCAGGCAGCTTTTCCTCCCTCTCCTAAACTTATTCTGTTTGGGCCTTGTTAGGGCACTAACAAATCACTTGACTCACACATTTACCAAAAGTTGCCCATAGACTTCTATCTTCTGAACTGCCTATTAATCTTGACATTTCTACACTGCTGATTGTGTTATTTTTTGTGTACACTTTTGTAGGGCATGGCTATAAGGTTAAGCCTCGGAGGGACCTGTTGGCAAAGCCACAAACAAGTCCCAGCTTA